AAAAAAAAAAAAGGAAAAAAAAAAAAAAAAGGAAGCTGAATGAGAAGAAATGATAGGACCAGGAGTGCATGCTTAGTGGCGAACAGTCACACAAGCAAGCACACACTCAGAAAATTAGAAGGAAATAACTTCCCACTAAACCAACCACTAGGTGGAGCCCAGTGCAGCCTCAGCTATGGCGTTTCTGCTTTCCTCACCTTCCTGTTGGCATCCAGGCTGGAGGCTGGAATCTGGAGGGTGACTTTGTACTCAGTTCTTTTATCCAGCTCCTCTGCGATGTAGCTAGCTTCTCGCACCAGTAGGTTGGCCTTTACAATCTGTTCCCTTAGCCTCATCAAGCTATTATTCAATGTTGCTTCTCTTTAAGAGAAAATAAAAACAGGACTGGTGGGTGCAGGAAACAACACACAAAACAGCATATGGGAAACCATGGTCACACTCAACTCATTCACAACTCCACAACTCTCTCCTGTACTCAGGAACATGTATGAACACTGCCCCTTGCACACACTGGTCTCTGGACCGTGTCACAGCACAGCACTCCTTGCATAGCAAGCTGGCCACAGGTAGGTGCAGGGCTCTACAAACTAAATGTGTATCAATCACCAGGCACCCTGATCAATTCAGATGCACTCAATACGACATGCTTCACTCTCCGGTCGACAGGGACGTTTGCAGGTATGCAGACTGGAGTAGCAGGGGTTAGTGCTGCACTCTGGAGCTGTGGGAGATGGCATTTAGTGCTATGCTAATTAACTCATACAGAGATCAAGATGGTGCTCTGCATCTTATTAGCATCGTGCTTTACCTACCTGACCTCATTAGTCCAGACTATCAACTTTCTTTTCCCCTTTCTTAAAAAGGGCATCTACCTACCTTCATAATCTAAAGCATGGTACAATGGTAAAGTACACTTCTCTGTTCAAAGCCAAAGGCCACACAGACTGAAAATGAGCAGCATCTAACATGGCATTTTGTTGTTGGTGGTGGTGGATTTCTTGAGACAGGTTCTCTCTGTGTAGCCCTGGCTGACCTGGAACTTGTCTGCCTCTCAGGAGACAGGCTAGTCTTAAAAAGACCAGAGATCTGCCTTTCTCTGCCTCCTGAGAGCTGGCTGGGATTAGAGCCATGTGTCACCCACCCAACTAGCATGGGCTGCTTTAAAGAAAGCTGAAAGTACCAGCAATTCCCATCTTTCCAAAAATGAAAAGTAAGAGCTGGAAAGCAGCTTGGTGGGAGAGTGCCTGCCTAGCATCCACTAGGCCTCGAGTTCAATCCTCGGTGCTGTGAAAGCAGCTTGGTGGGAGAGTGCCTGCCTAGCATCCACTAGGCCTCGAGTTCAATCCTCGGTGCTGTGAAAGGAAAACGAGCAAAGACGAATCTAGGCAGCATGTGAGCACAGACCTGCAATCCCAGTGTACAGGGTGCTGAGGCAGGAGGATTCTAAGTTCCAAGCCAGCATACACTGCAGGGTGATTTCAAGGCCAACTTGGAAGATACATGTGTATAAAACTCTGCCTCAAAATAACAACAAAAGAAAAATGAAAGAGGAAAAAGGGAGAGGAAATAGAGAGATGGGAAGAGGTGGGAAAGAAGTGAAGGAGGAGGAGGAGGGAGAGAGACACACCAAGTGACCCTTGGCTGTAGCACCCTCTTGAAATGCTACTCTTTGTAAGCATCACCCAGTGTTTCCATGCAGAACCTTCCCAGGTAGGGAGTACAAACACTACCCAAATCAGTCAGGCTGTCCTGCACACCTACCTCTCCTCAGCCCACTGTCTCAAGCGCTGCTGGGCACTGGGCGAGTGGAAGGAGAGCCGGTCCACACCACGGCAGTTCTGCCTCTCAGGAGACAGCCTTCTTCGGAGCTGCTCCAGTTCGTGTTCGTACATGAGCCTCTGGCGCTCTAGAGCCGATCGCTTTTCCTCCTCATGCTGCTGCTCTAGGCTGTTCAATATGGACTGCATTGGATCTGAACATGTTAAAAGAAAAAGAAAAGAACGTAATGAATAAGAAAGTATGGTGTGATAGTTTGAATGTAGCTGGCCCCATAAGCTCACAGGGAGTGGCACTATTAGAGAAGTGTGTCACTGTGGGGGCAGGCTTTGAGGTTTTCTATGTTCAGGATACTACCCAGTGCCTCAGACCATTTCCTATTGCCTGCAAGATGCAGGACTCTCGGCTACTTCTCCAGCACCACGTCTCCTTGAACGATACCATGCTCTCTGCCATGATGGTAATGGACTGAACCTCTGAAACTATAAGTGAGTTCTCCCAAACCTACCCCCCAACCCCTACATGCACACATGCCCCGCCAGTTAAATGTTTTTCTTTATAAGAGCTGCCATGGTCATGGTGTCTCTTCACAGCAATAGAAACCCTAAGACATAAAGTATACTTCAGACATCCATCATTCATCCAAACTGCCATGACCTGACACATTCCAGACAGCTTGGAGTAAACGTGGCTTTCTCACAGCCAGTTACTTGTGTGATACCTGAGATAGACTCAACCTTGTCTGCAAAGCAGCAACAGAGAAGGCTAAAATATGTTCTCTGCAGAACCTCGGTTGTAGTGTATGCTCCAGAAACACAAGAAACCAAAGGCAGTCACACTTCAAACCTGGGAAATTCCACCCATGAGGACAAGTTTGCAGTGATTTATCACAGCAGAGAGAGGATGTTCTGTAAGTAGAATCAATTATTACAACCAAAGATACAAACAGAGTTCAGAGGTAATCAAGAAAAGTGTGTCATCAAAAACATGCTCAGACCTCCCATAAGCACAGCCTGTGCTCACCGTTGCTGCCCAGGGCCTTCATGGTCACCTCCATCTGTGCATACTCGAAGTTGAAGTTGATCTCGCTGGACACCTCACTGGAAGAGTCCCCGTCAGCATCCAGATGCTCATAGCTGCTGTCGTTCTTCAGGGAAGCATCATGCTCCTCATCCTCTCGTTCGACTTTCTTTTTCTTTTTTGGCAGATTGAGTCTTGGGGTGAAAAAGGGGTCATTAAATTAAGAAGGATGCTTATTCATCCCATTCCTTACACACTAGCATTTGCTAGAGGCTAAGGAAATGCCACAGCAGTACCAAGAACCTGCTACACTTAGGACCTTTGTACTCTAGTACTAGAAATAAAACATCTACATGCGTACAAGTGACTGCAACGAAGTTCGCACAACTTCTACACATTAGGTGAGAGAGAAAAGCTGAGGACCACATCAGAACAAGAACTAGATGTGCTGACAAGTCTCTGGAGACTTTATAAGTAAAACGCCATGGTGTACACAACCATACGGAAGCATCTGAGGGTCTGGGAGACCAGTCAGCAACACTTTCAATGTGGAAGAAAAAAAATGAAAAGCATTTCCCATGAGCTTGCATCCTTCTAATCTTTCCTGTAAGATCAAAACAGCAAGTGGTATAAAAATAAGGATCAGCACCAGTTAGTTATGAGCAAAGTTTGTTAGACAGAAGACACATTAGCCAAGGACAGAAAGAAGAGACCAGGGTCTGAATGCTACAGCAGACATTCGGGGTACAGTGTTGCAGTCACAGATGAGAGCCTTCCTTTGCAGACTCCCTTGCAGCTACTAGACAGAGTCCACTCAAGGGGACTAAGAGGAAGATTTCTTGTGCCCTGACAAGAGGATAGCAAGGTTGTCCTTTGCTGCCCTTTTGTCCCTGTGAGCTGAGTGCTTCTTTCAGGGCTGCAGGGGCACAGTTCTTCCACAGGGAAGTGCCAAGAAAACGGTAGAGCACAGCCCACGCTAGCAGCTTTCTCCTTGAGGGCCTCTCACTGTCTGGGAATACACAACCTGCTTAAGCCATCAGTGTCTAGTGTGCTGGGACTGATTGAAAGCATGGTCAGAGAAACCACCAACCTCCTCTGGGGGATAAGGAAGCTAAATCCCACATTTCTACTACTGCTTTTCAGACAAAAGAAAAGAATAACAGTGTGCAGACAGGATGACTGATAGACAGACAGACAACAAACCCAAAAGAAAAAATGAATTAATTCTGATACCAGATTGGGGGGAAATCTTACACTGGAAAGAAAATTAAACAAATAAGTAAGTTTAGTACTTTTGATGAGAGACATGTCATTCTCGGCACCCAGAGTTCACATATATATGAACAAACACACAAGTCATGAATACAACATATATGTACAAGCATGAGAACACACATAGTAAGGTATCATTTTTATGCTGTTAAAATGACTCTTCTGTTTCAGAACACAGTCTTCAGTGGCCTCCCACCTTCAGAAATGTGAGCAATGCCATACCTGAAGAAATGGTTGTTTCCCCAGAGAATCCTGTCCCCATGGTGCAGCTGGATGGGGCTGGAGACAGAAGACCCATTGACAAATGTCCTGTGGGAAAGAGGACAGCATGAGTAGGATGACCATACCCTCTGCTTCCACCACCTTATACTACAGTAGCTCATTTTCCTCAAACTAAACCTGCCCTTGGTGAAGCTAAATATTTGTAGTTGCATCTCCACACTTACCTCAAATGCTGAGGACATTAAGTATTATTTTACAGCCTTCAAAGTTCTAAGCATTATATAGCCCATTTCATACAGTGATGGTACTTTCAGAGATTAACCTCTGTTTCTCAAAGCTCTGAACATCTTAGACCATAGGGAGGAGTAAATATGGAGCCATGACAGGTAATAAATTAAGACAGAGCAAGGAAACAAAGCAGAGCCAAACCAGATGGATAAAGAACTTGCCAAGTGACCAGATTCTAGAAACAGTGGCAGATGCCAGGGGTGCAGCATGAAATCTACAGGGAATTCTGAAACTGCTCACAGTGGAGAGCGTCATCCATGTCCTTTCAATACAGAGATGTCTCATCAGTTCAGCTGAACTGTTTAGTTCAATAACAGACTTCCACAGCAGACATGGTGGGCAGAACACTAGCATGGGAGGAATTTGAAAGGACTGGAAACAAGTGGAAAAGTACGCCTGTGCATATTCCCAGGATACCAGCCCACGCCTCTCTCCTACCAACTGAGTCACTGGCTGAGAAATAGGACATCAAGTACAAATTCTTTAACTTGCCATGGGAGGCCTTTCCTTCCTTCCACAAGGAGGTCTCTGTATCTCCTCCCTTCCCTCTTCTAGGGAACCTTCAGCTCCTCTGAAAGCAGATTTCTTTTCTGTACACTAAGCACAATCAATTCTTCCTCCATTCCTATCAGTCCCTGGAATCATTTACTGCTTCATCAAGAAACAAGGTCCTGACCCTCTCCAGCCTCTGGAAGAAGGTCCCGCCCCTCTCCAACCCTCTCTAGCCTCCAGAGTCTTCCTCACAATCCAAGTCCATTTGGATTCCATTTTCTCTGCAGAGCCTGCTGAGCACTTTGGTCTGAGTTTCTTTAAACTCTATAAAGCTACAAATCTTGTTTGTTTGGTATTGATTGTTTGTTTTTGGTTTTTGTTGTTTTTTTCTGAGATGGGCTCTCGCTATGTAGGCCTGAGCTCAAGATCCTTCTGCCTCAGCCTCCTTAGTTCTAGGCTTATGAACATATGCCAACACATGACTAAACCATGCACTTACCTGGCTTTATGTGTCCATGATACTCTATGCATTTCCATCCGCACAAACTCTTACTCCCACTCAAACCTTGTTCCCCATGTGGGATTCTTAGACACTAACACTGACCCTTTTGCTTCTGTCTGTATGAACATTCAACGTACAAGCTCAAATACAGAGTTGTAATGTGCTAAACTTAGCACACCCAAGGCTTTATGGCTCCATTCTTCAAATGCAATGAGTTCAGAAAGAAAAACAGGAGGCCAGGCATGGTGGCACAATGCCTTTAATCCCAGCATTTGAAGAAGAAGGTTCAATGCCAGACCTATCTACAGATCAAGTTCCAGGGCAGCTAGAGCTATACAGAAAAATCTTGCATCAGGAAGTGGGGGTGGGGAGGAAGAACACAGGCTTACTTTGGAAAAGCACTGCAGTTAAGTCATGATTTAAAAAAAAAAAAAAAAAAAAGAATATAAACCAGTTCTTAAAGTCAATCTACATGGGGTACCCATGACAGAAATTGCTTCCACTGCAGCACTGGCCCATCTCCTATTCGGACACTCATATAGACCATGCCAATCATCAGCCTGTCTGACACTCGTATAGACCATGCTGGTCACCAGCCTGTCGCCTGTGCTGTGAGACACCCTGCTGAAGCTGCACACACAGTAAGGCTTCAACAGCAAATGCAGTCTTGTCAGAGAAAAATGTTCCCCCGGACTGTCCTATAATCAAGCAGCATAGCATTGAGTAAACCCTGACCCTGAGCATACAGCACCTTTACTATCTCAACTGACAAGAAACTTCCAGAAAGCACCGCTGCTTTGTGCCAAAGATGGTGACGCCTAACACACACAAAGCAGCATTTCAAATCTTCCAGGTGAGCAGTGAACAGAGGGAGCCCGCTGCCAAGGAAAACAACTGGCAGCATTCATTGCCATAACAAGAACTTTGAGTTCTGGAAATTTTTTGTCCATATCCTCCACCCAAAGACCACTGGGAAGTTATCCCAAGTGGAACTACTTGGACTTGTCATTCAGACTTGGAAGCAGTATGTGGAATGATTGGCTGTGTGGCAGTGCCAGGGTGCCAGGGAAGACCTGGGGTAGAACTGGGCTTTGGCTGATGAGGAGAAGGTTTAGAATTATCTCCATCATTAAAAAGTGTAGCTAACAGGGAACTCCCACAAGCAGACATTGACAGAGCTTAGTCCTAAAAGTCAAATGGGAGTTGACAGCCAAAAGAACGGTAGGGTTTTATAAAAGGAGATAAATGGGGAATGCAGGGACTTCCTCCCCAACCAGAGGACTGTGCCAGCTGAGCAGAAAATGGTTCCAATCAAGACAGAGTGAAGGCGGCTGGAGAGACAGCTCAATGGTTAAGAGCACATGCTGTTCTTCAGAGGACATGAGTCTGATTACCAGCACCCATGCAGGGGGCTCACAACCATCTGTAACTCCAGCTTCAGGGAATCTGATGACTCTGGCCTCCTTAATCACCTGCACCCATGTGTGTATCCCCTGAAACACATATACATACACATAATTGAGAAGCAAATTTTTTTTTAAAAAAAATATGAGGCCATGTAAGTGAGGCCAGGGTGCCAGGAGTATGAGAACATGAGAGATGCTAAGATTAAATAGAAAGGGCCTGACACATACCCAGGGTGTCTTAAATGAGCTGAAAACAAGAGCAGGCCGATGTCCCTCATCCTCCCCCACTCCCTACCCCCGACCCAGTGTAATTCACACTAACTTAAGCATGTTACCTGGTGTTCTTCTGAGGGGTCAGCATGACCTGGCCTTCAGGCATGATGTCTATGATACAGTGCTCGGGAAGAATGCCCATCCCGCAGAGCTGGATGTCCTGGGAATTTGCTGACCCTATCAGTGTGTGCTCCTAAGAAAGAAGTAGAGTTCCCTATGAATTAAGATCAGTTTCAGTCAGCCCCTCAGGCACAAGATCTGAAAGCAAATGAATGGTGGTCCCTGACATTCATTCTATGAGTTCTAGGTCTTTAAAAGAAGCATCGTCCCTCAGTTGTTGTCAAGCTCAAAATACAATCTTCTATTTATGTCTGTCTACATTTGTTATTTTTCTTACCATCTTGATTTTAAATATTTTATATCACTCTCAGAGCATAAGCCATATATCAACAATATTTCACAATATTGTCTAAAAACTACAGTTACAGAGCTGGTAGGTAGAAGAAGAAGGGCTGCAAGTTTGCAGTCAGCCCTGGCTGCACAGTGATTTCAAGGACAGCCTTAGCTACCTGAGACTTTGTTTCAGGAGGAGAGAGGGAGGAAAGAAAGGAGGGAGGGAGAGAGGGAGAGAGGGAGGGGAGGGAAGGAGGGAGGGAGGGAGGGAGGGAGGGAGGGAGGGAGGGAGGGAGGGAGGGAGGGAGATGGAGAGAGAGTGAACAAGAACTATGTGGTCTCAATCAAAATGAGACAACTACAAAAATAAACGTTGTTTAAAGACAGCATCTGGGGTCAGGAAAATGGCTCAGTAGTTAAGGGCTCTTGAGGCCAAGCCTGAGAAACCGAGTTCAACCCCCAGAACCAACATGGTAGAAAGAGATCTGACTTCCACAAGTTTTCTGCTGACCTCCACATGTGTACCTCATTTCAAATGCTTTCTTTCATTTTTTTCTAAGGTATTTATAAGTGTGTGAGTGCTTTGCCTGCATGTTATATCTGTGTACCATGGGCAGGCTATGCCTATGGAAACCAAAAGAGGATTTCAGATTCTGAGGGACTAGTTACAGACAGTTGTGAGTGGGCATATGGATGCTGGGAATTAAACCCAGGTCCTCTGAAAGAGCGGCCAGTGATCTTAACCATTGAGCCCTTCTATCTCAGTGTTTAATATATGTTCAGAGCTAGACCAGTGTCACTGTCACACTGCCCCAGGCTGATCCCTCACCTGACACTGACTGGGGCTTCTGGCCCACAGAACCAATTAGCATGGAAACTGTACAGCTGGTATATCCTGATATCTCCCTCCTCTTGAGCCCCCATGACACCAGTAACTACTGAGTTACTGTTTTGCACATGCTGTTTTCCCCTTTGTTTTGACTGTAACCTATCTAAGGCTCCTGCAGCTGGTACAACCAACACAAGACAGAGTCTGCAGTGGTCTGGTTATCTGTAGACAGTGATTACAGTCAACAGAAACAAGAGACACAAACTCAAAACAGGCAAAAGTAATCCAAGTTCTAGTCCTGGCTATTCTGGAACTCATTTTGTTGACCAGGCTGGCCTCAAATTCAGAGATCCACCCTTCTCTGCCTCCCAAGTGCTGGGATTAAAAGTATGCACCAACACTGCCAACCTAGAAATCCATTTTTTAAATAAATACTTTACATATCAAATATGTGAGAAACATTGGATTCCTAGAGACATAAGAAACTGTCAAGTCCCAATTAGAATTTATGGTATAAAGGAAATCTCAAGTCTCTCACTTGAGGTTGCAATCTATTGTGATTTGGAAAATACACTAGGATTCAGACTCTAAATCCAAAAGGCTCAGTTCTGCAAACTCTTTACTGCTCAATGTTTAAGTCAACAGTATGCTCCAAGCAACAGGGGGAAAAACAGATGAAGAAATTTCTCACAGGCTGTCTATCTCCTTGGTATACACAGGCCTATGATCCCAGCACTTAGAAGGCTGTTAAACTCAAGGTCAGCCTGAGACCCAGTCTCAGAAACATTCTCCACCCCACCCCACCCAAAACATGATCTAATGAGTATCTAAATGATACTCATTTAATGAGATGGGATGACACATGTGAGCAACTGAATGAACTAATAAGGGACTCCAAACGGTGACAGTAGAAGGTATGTCAGAGTACAGATGGAGGGGCACACTCTGGAGGAGAAAATCCTATAACCTGGACACAGGATGGAACCCGAATCTGCAGATGATGTTGAAAGAGTCACCTAGAGAGATGAGGTCAGCACATCTGAAGTCACATCCATTCGAACTGACTTAGAACTTGCAGGCTAAGAAAAAAAAAGTGCAGCCTCCAAATTCCCCCATCCCACATGGTAGCATTTTCTAAAGAGAGGCCATTCTTGGACTGAGCTCACCCTTCTGAATGTGCCTTGTCATGAGGATGGTCTTGCCATCAGGCGAGCCTGGCACTGTCTCAGACTGAGCCCAGATGGAGCTGACCATTCTGGGAAAAAAACAATCTCCTCAACACAAGGGACCAGAAAAGTTCTGACTCCTCTAAACACCCTCACCAAACAGCTGCTGCTGATTTACTAACTTCTTACTTAGAGAACAGACATCAATCGGGTTGCTTTTTTGTGGGTTGTTTTGTTTTTCTGTGTATCCTGTAATTTAGACAGTATCACTTCTGAAGGAAGGAATTCCAAACTCTGAGACTCCAAAGGGGCAATGTGCCTCACTCCTAGTCTACTGTGCATATTCCTGGAGTACGTGAGTGTCTGTAGACTGTTCTAACTCAGGATGCTAGGCTGGGAAAGAAAGCATGCCTTGCCTTGTAAGCATGAGGACTTAAGTTTGATTCCAGAACCCACTTACAAATGTCAGGCATACCTGCTATGTCAGTCCTGAGGAGGGAGGAACAGGAGTGTTCCTGGGGCTCACCTGCCAGGCAATCTGGCCTAACTGGTGAACACCAGACCACTGAGAAATGCTGTCTCAAATTAGTAGGTGTCTTTCATGACCCAGGGTTGTCTCCTGATGTTCACATGCATGCTCACACACATATCTGTATATACATGTACACACAAATACAGATATACAGCTTATTTTAAAAAAGATGCTGCCAACACTATTCAAAGTGTCATGAGAATTGTGATGACATACTATTTTTACTTTTCTATTTATTTTATACGTATGGGTACTTTGGCAGCAAGTATGTCTATGTGCCACTTGCATGCCTGGTACCCTTGGAAACCAGAAGAAGGTCCTAGATCCCCTAGAACTGGAATTATAGACAGTTGGATTTTTTTGGTTGGTTGGTTGGTTGGCTGGTTCTGTTTTGTTTGAGACAGATTCCATTGTGTAGCTCTGGTTATTCTGGAACTCTCTTTGTAGATAGGCTGGCCTTGAATTTAGAGATCCTCCTCTTGCCTATGCCTCCAAAGTGTTGGGATTAAAGGTCTGCACCACAACACCCAGCTGTAGTTACAAACAGTTGTGAGCCACCATATTGGTGCAGGGAATCAAACCCAAGTCCTCTGGAAGAGCAGCCAGTGCTCTTAAACACTGAACCTTCTCTTCAACCCAACACATTATTTTTAAGAGGCAAAAATAGCATATGTGGGAGAAAGCAGAATAGGGAATACAGTATAGTTGTGTAGTGCTTCTGTCTGTAAAACTTACCCGCAGAACCAGTCTTCACATAAACCCAGGAAGCTACCTAGAGGCACTCTCTTCCGGTGTATAAAGAACCAGAAAAGCCTTGACTCTGCACTAGATATGCACATATTCATATAAGTGTCAAAGACATTATTTAACTCACAGCATTGCCAAATACTATATAAGATACTTAGGGGGGGAAAGGTAGGGAGACTTATCAAAATGATAATAACTAAGCAATTATTTCAGTGTATCCTCAATGAAAAGTAAGAAAGAAGCTGTACTGGTTGGATTATTTGTCAACTCTCACCTTGATACAACTAGAGTCCTTGGGAAAAGGAAACCGAAATTGAGAAAATGTCTCCATCAAATTTCCTGAGGATAAGTCTATGGGGCATGTCCTTGATTAATAATTGATGCAAAAGGGCCCATGGCATGGACCACTATGGGCAGTGCCACCTCTGATCAGGAGGTTCTGAGTGGTATAAGAAGGCACACTGATAAAGCCATGGGAGCAAGGCAGTAAGCAGTGCTCCTCCATGGTGTCTGCTTCAGGTTCCTGTCTGTAGCTCCTGCCCTGGTTTCCCATCATGATGGACTGTAAGCTGAAATAAACCCTTTCCTCATCAAGTTTCTCTGGTCCTTTTTTTTTTTTAATCACAGTAATAGAAAGCAAAAGGACACTAGCCAATGTGCATGTTCTTAGACGGTAAATGACAGCATTCTTTACAACTGTCTCCGACTTTATCAAAGCCAGCTCTCCTTTCCTCGCCACACTAGTCCATGTAATGATGGGAAGAACCTGGGCTATGTGCAATTAACTCAGGCTCTGGAACAGGTAAGGGAAACGGGAGGCACTCCTCATATCTCACTGTGTCAGGCTCAAGGACTTTCCTGGCTTTCCCATCTTCTGAGATTTTCAGATTTCAATGTGTACTGTATTTTCCTTTCTATTCCATGTACTGTCCACCCAATGTCTAGGTGATCAGCTCTCCCTTTTGTTTGTTAATAGGTTGATAATTTAAACTTTTAAATTTTTCCTAAAAGTTATTGGAAACATCAATCTCCTATCGAGTGGCCCTAACTAAGAACTTTAACTATTTCCTCTCTTATTTAAGAAAATATTCCCTATAAATTATATTAAATAATGGCAGGTACATTACTTAACTTACTGGAAATAATATCACGATATTCTTTTTATATAAGTAGTTCAATAACATCACTCAAAGACAGAAAATGGAAACTGGTCCCAAAACCCCAAGACTGTCCTACACTCCAAGTGATGAAATAAGGTGACGGGTAACGGGTAACACCGAGCGCTCCGAGAAGGCCATGCACTCACCTTTAAGTAGTACACCAGGAGTTCATTCAGAGCGGGGTCAGCATTCAGGTTAACCAGGAAGCACTTGTCATCGCCAACTTTGATTCCAGAAGTCTGAAGAGATATCCCGAGGCTCTCAAGCTGCTTCTGCCGCTCCTGCAAAGACACCAGGGAGGTGGTGATCCCCAGCCACAGAGGCAGCAAGACACAGAGACTCTGACAGTATCAGAAGACTGTCCCACACCTTTATCATCCAGTGCAAAGAAAGCATTCTAGGGAAAAATAAAGATGATCACGTTTTTCTCTTTTCAAATGTTAAAAGTTTCACTTCACCAGAACAGAGGTCAAAACAGCCAGTAATGCTTGCAGGGCCCTTCAGCCTGGCCTACGCCCTCTCCTTCCATCTCAACACACTCATTCTCCCACCTGGGCCACCATGAGCTACACGGAACTTAAGGTCTCCTCTCAAGTCACAGTCATCAGAGTCACTGACCAGGTCTACCACAGTGTAAAATAAAAATATAAAAATAAGTTAAAAAATTAGGGCTTAGCAAAAATAGGCATCTGTATCAACCCCCGACCCCTCCAAACACACACACACACAGGCTCAGGATCCATCAAGGAAGAAGAGACAGAAAGGCTGCAAGAGCCAGAGTTGGAAAGAAGCAAGGTCAAACAGTGTCCTCTGGTCAGAGCAGGACCACTGCAGGCCTGAGCTCAATGCAGCTACAGGGCCTCCACAAAACCTGTACACAATCACACCAGTCAACATTCCAGAATGAAGGGGGAAGGTGCTCACGAGTCCCCACTCTGAATTAGAGACAGTTGATGCTGCTGGGGGTGGAAAAGTCGGCTTTCTTTAAGGTATGGCACCTGTTAGGTCAATCCTGCCCTAGGGTGAATGGTCACACACCCATGAGTGTATGAACAATACAGCTGGGAGGAAGGAGTGGGCAGTGACTGCGGTCAAAGTACACGGTACACATGGATGAAATTCTCAGTAAACATGTAGCTCAGTAGTGGGGTCCTTGCTTAGCATGTATGGAGTCCTGAGTTCAATCTCCAGTACAAATAATAAATAAATACTGGTACTACAAAACTAATCATTTCTCACACAGAAACAAGCTAATGAAGCTATGAAATCTTTACTTTCAGACCAATTCTCTGAAGCGCAGCCTTAGGGGACCTACAGGCACATCAGTGTGCTAGATTTGCCACACCGCCACCTGAGTACCATGCAAACTGCCCCCAACACAAACCTGTGCAATCTCCTCGGTTTTCCTTAGTTTCTCCTCCCAGGTCACAGTCATTTCCTGGATGAGCTTCTCAGATTCTTCTAGACGGTCTTTCAGCTCTGGAGATTTCATTGCCTAAAAACAAAACGTTACTTTTTCAAATGTCTATTTGGTGCCAGGAAAGAACCACCAGCTGACTGTGAAAGGTCAAGGGCTACCACCTGCCACTGAGTTCTCCACCTGCCTAAGCAGGGTGGTGGCCATCGCAGACCACAACACCTATCCTGGGAGGACTATAGACCCAAGAATCAGCTATGGTGTACTCAGAAAGACAACCTAACTCTTCCCTTTCCTACAGCCTTCTGTGGAGATCTCATTACATTTCAGGAGATAAATGTGCCAAGCTACCTATGGAGGGCTGATGATTATAATTGCGGTAAGTTGTACATCTAGACTCACAGGCATCGCTTCATCTCAGTCTCCTCCTACTGATGATTTCAGGAATGTTCTCAAGGCTACACAAGTTACATGTGTGCATGCTGCAAACTGGACAGCATTAAAATAACACTGGATCTAAGCCCAAAGGCAGAGAAGCAACGGGTGGTGTTATTAATAAAGGGAAGACAGAAACCACATCCCCAAGGTTCTTGAAGAACTATAAATTCAGGATAAAATTCAATAGGAACAAAAATAAACCAAAACCATGATCAAGGTAACTGATATGACCATGTAGCCTCTTGATTTTCTACCATAAGAAGAGAAACCAGACAGGAGAGGGATGTGGTGCCAGCTCCAGAGACAAGTCCCTGGGACAGAAACACTACCCAGAGCAGGAACCCGGAGTATGACATTTCATGCTAACCCAAGGAAAGCGCTCGCATCTAGGCAAACACTGTGATTTTCAAAGCCTGTTACAGAGCCCAAGCATCAGCCGCCACAGAATGAACGGAGACACTGACCGCACAGAAAACCTCTAAGCTCTGGCTGCTTCTGTCCTGAGACAGCTTACAATATTACTCGACAACCTAGCTCACCCGTAACAGAAAAGGGTGGGATATAAAGGTGAGGGTGCCTTCTGTTCTAACTGCAAACTAACAGAATGAGGAAAAAAAAAAAAGCCATCCAATTCCTTTTGCCTCAACTGTATGCCCAGTTTCTGCACAAAATTAAATCACTTACTTTGTCCCCCCACCTCTCTTTCTCCCCTCTATTCTAGCCTGTCAGCTTCCTGGACAGAAGCGGAAAGAAGCATGCTTCCTATTCCCCATACTCTCTTATCCAATCCTTTTCAACAGCCATAAAAACCCTACATTTCAAACATGACCACCTACTTTATCGCTCTACTCACACTCCTCTTCCCACAGAGAATTCCAGAGTTCCTAGCAGAGTACTGCTCAGGGACAGAACAGAATCAGGGGAAGAAAGTTCACACTCCAGCTTGCCAGGGCCCCCAGTGACACAGAGCCTAACCGGCTGGGTCTCCTACCTCAGCCTTGGTCAGCTGCTCGCGGAGCTTCTCCACCTCTTCTCGGAGATCTCGGATGATCCGCGCATTAGGATCCTCGTTCACCACAGCGTGGTTGACAATGTGCTTGGCTCGATCTGCATACCTCAGGGTTGAGAGGGTTTCGTCATAGTTATCAGCGGCTGGGCTCACAGTGGCCACCATGGCGGTCTTGCTATTTCCCCCGAGACTGTCCTACCAGGAAGAACAGAGTGAAGAGTCTTTTAAAGTCTGCAGAAGCCATCACATGAGAAAGCTGAAATCTGGAAGACTAAAACAGCCCAAGGCCAAGCACACAAAAGGAAAAGGGCTCACAGGCAGATCCTCATGGGGCTCAAGCCTGGGGCTGTCTCTTCTCTGCCAATTACTTTTTTTTTCTTTTGGGGGGGCAGGGTGTAATGGTGGTGGCAGGGGGCAGGGTTTCTCTGTATAGCCCTGGCTCTCCTGGAACTCACACTGTAGACCAGGTTGGCCTCGAACTCAGAGATCCACTTGCCTCTGCTTCCCAAGTGCTGAACCTTAAAGGTGTGCGCCCCATGCCCAGCTCCACTTACTTAACAAACAAAAAAGAACCCCTAAACAACAACAAATCCTTTCATTTTTTTTCAAGATAGAACAGGAAACCCCAACAGACTGCATTCATCTTTTTAAGTAAAAATTCACCCAAAGCTAGCGTGTCCCATTTAATAGGCAATGTGAACAGACTTCGGTGGCTAGCCAACCTAGAGGAACTGGGTGTGTATAGTATCAGCTCCTTTGGGGACTTTGGTAGTGCTGTGGATGTAACCTATGACTTCCTGAATGAAGGCTACGGCTGTGCCGCCGAGCCACACTCCCAGCTCCAAGGAAGCTCACCAACACCTTCCTCCACGGTTCCTCCTGTCCTGTAGATACAAGTTCCCGGGAACCTTGTAAGGCTCTGAAACCTAAGGGACAATTACGGACCTCTGAACCAAAAGCTGAGTTGCAGCAGCTTCATTTCTCCCTCTGCCAGCGTTCTAGAAACTAGCACATGCTCTGCACAACAGCTTCCACAGCTCATTCAATGATCCCAAGGAAGCTACTCATCCGAATGTCAGGTAGCTGGCTACAAGGACAGGAGAACTACACTAATTAGAACATTCGAAATAATGAGTTATGTAAACCAGTAGTAGAACACTTGCAGAGCACGCATGCTCTGGGTTATATCTCAGGATTGAAAAGAAAGATAAAGAAAAACCCTCAAAAAATTTAAAATCAGCCGATCAGCTCCCACTCCACTGGCCATGCAAAGGAAACTGGAGGCCACTGCTCTGCATCTCCGCCTCCCAAGTCCTCACTAGTACAGACCTCTTCCCTTGTGTGTGGTCAGCATTAATAGACTGGCACCTAACTGGCAAAACACCAAAGGTAACAGAAGGGATGGCATGTCACCAGGTGGTGCTTTCTGTCTAGGGCACTGTCTCTTGCTCTCAGGAGAAGCTGCCATGAGGTAGGCTGGCTCCTAGGAAGAGACTCACGGCAGTGAAAAGGGAAGCAAGCCCTTGAGTTCTGCCTATCCGCATGGAAATGAGCAACCCCCTCACCCAGGATCAGGCCTCCAGATGGCTAGAGCCTTGCCTCATACTTGGACTACAGCACATAGGCCCTAGCCCCAAGCACACACTGAAGACTGCCTATGGAATCCTGAGGTGGTGACTGCTGGTCCTGCTAGCTCGTTGGGTATAATTTGTTACAGGAGGGTGGATAACTGCAGGCATTACCATACCATGCAAGGCATGGAAGCATCATAAAAAAACTAAACCAGGCCAGCAGTGGTGCACTGGGGAGGCAGAGGCAGGCAGATCTCTGTGAGTTCGAGGCCAGCCTGGTCTACAGAGTGAGTTCCAGGAAGCCACGACTACATAGGAAAAAAAAAAAAAAAAGCTAACCATGATAATGCGCACTTGCAATCCCAGTGCTGGGTAGATGGAGGAAAAGCAGATCCCTGGGACTTCCTGGTCAGCCTGATCACTAGATGAGACCTAAGCCAGCGAGAGACCCCGTCTTGAAATAGGTGAGAACTAGGAAGATTGTTCAGGAGTTCCGAGTGTTTACTGCTCTCACAGAAAACCTGGGTTCAGTTCCCAGTACCTACAAGGTGGTTCACAACTGCCAATTCAGGGGATTCTGATGTTTTCTGCTGGCTCCTACAGGTCTGTGATGCATATAAACTCACATGGGCAAACATTATATACATACAATAAAAATATTTTAAATGACTTCAAAGCTATACAGAATTTGGGGAACAACACCCAAGAGTTATCTAGCCTCCACATGCACACATGCATGCACATGGACCTGCACATACACGAACACATAAAGATTCAATATTCCCTTTCAGAAATGCAATCCCAATGAATGACAGTCTCAAAATCCAGAGAAACGTTCACTACATCACAAGAAGGCTGACTTTGGCCAATATTCATCTTCAGAAAACTCTTCATTCTGAAATACAGCTTTTCTAATTTTAATACATATAAAATTTGTTAGAAATTTTTGTAGTTTTACACAGTTCTTTGCCTTTTTTGAATTCACTTAGTACCCCCACTCTACTAGTGAGAAAACAGGCTTGTTCTAAATGAAAACAGACAAAAACAAACAAGTCACAATCATCAACAACCTGCCTAACAATTCAGAACCAGCAGACTGAGCAGCACTCTACCCCAGGTGTTTTCTTCCTTCAGTTCCAAACAGACCTCTCCTTCCTCCCACGCAGCCACCTACTATAAGCTCTTGGCAACCACAGCAACTTCAGGCCTAAGGGCCGACAATGCTCCAAATTATTCTGTCCTGATATTAGAAACAAAATTAATTCCCAAAGCATCAACAGCTCAATCACAGACAGTGTGTATGCTTACTCATCCATTACTGAAAACTTAGTTTTTCAAAGAAAGCAGAGATAACTATATTGAAGAAAATAAGTTCTCACTTATAGAAAAGCAGGAAATGTAACCAATCTGGACTTCCGGGAGTAAAATCCAGGACTGCTTGACTCTCTTTTCACTCCTAGACGCTGATGTCACATTGTCAATGCTCCAGGTTTGTCTGTGGAGTCCCTTGCAGATTAATGACATTCAGCTGGGACAGAAAGTCTCAAGGGCTGCAGTTCCACCCGCCAGCAATGCCACATACCCCACTTAGGACTACTGCAGTCTGCCCATGGACACGACAAGCATGGACGACAAATGGGACTGTAACCATAACCACCAGGAGCAAAAGCAAGCGGCCACTGTATTTAGGCTGAGAAAAGGAAACTGGCACCCCAGGCTTGATTTACTAAATGACCATGGAGCAGCAAAATGCTCATATTGCCTTGAACGAAAAGGAAACTGTAACAAAAGAATGGGCAGGCATCCAAGAAAGAGTTTACAGTTTATTGTTTACTCTTTAATTAAGCAAATCAGACCAGCTTTGTTTCAAATGTGGCAATGCAAATTAAATGGACACTAGAAAGAAATCTCATTTTAGAAGTCAGAATTTTTCTTTTCAAGTTGAAAGAGCACTGAAGCCGTCTAATCAAATTACTTCATTGTTCTGCTAAGAAGCTGAGTCCCAGAAAGGCTGAAATTCTCATGGAAGGTCAGAGTGCTAGTTCAGAGCAGAGCGGGGATTGTTTGCTCTTCCCTTCTCATGAGCTTTGCCATCTAATGGGAGAGGCAATGCTGAAGGAGAGTCAGATCCAGGGTCTGACCACAAAGAGAGGGAAGAACCCAGAAGAGAAGACACTGCAGACCTCCAGGTGAACCAGCACTGGCGGGCACAAGAGAGAGAACCAGGAGAGATGAAAGTAACTACAGCGCAGGCCTTTAACCAAGGCACTCAGGAGACAGAGGCAGGTGGATCTCTCTGAGTTCAAGGCCAGTCTGGTCTACAGAGTAAGTTCCAAGACAACCAGAGCTACACAAAGAAACCCTATCTTGAAAAAAACAAACAAAGCCCTAAAGTAAGAAAAGTTAAGACAGCCGTCCGTGCCAACTAGAATCTACCACACCGGGGAGCAGAAGGCAAAAGCTAGGAGGAAAGGTCAGCTAGAGCAGGCCTTTGTAAGGCACTCACGGAAGAACTTGACCTTGATTCTAGGGGACTGGAGGACAGTTACTGAAGAGACTTAAAGTTCTGGTGAATTCAGAAATTGTAGAGAGTGGGTTGGACAAAAAAAGTCCAAAGGAAGTGGTTGTCAGCTAGGTGAGAGGTCAACACGACACCCACTAGGAACTGACATTAAGAATAAAAGTGGGAAAAAAAAAAAAAAAAAAAAAAACAGAATAAAAGTGGGGGTTAGCTCTCACAGAGTGTGACCTGGGCACATGTTACCAGACGTGGGGTTAAGACACCCACACATAGACGGAGATAAACATCAAGTGTGTAGCACAAATATTGTGTAAATGGCATTCAGACACAAACCAAACATGCACATCTTTTTTTGTTGTTGTTGTTGTTTTTTATTAAACATGCGCATCTTGTCAAAGATAAGCAATTAGATGCAGGGGGGGAGCGGGGGGGGGGGTGATAGCTCAGTCAGTAAAAGCTTTAACACCCAAACATAAGAACCTGAGTGTGACCCCAGCACCTATATAAAAAGCCTGGTGTGGTGGCACATGGCTATAATCGCAGCCAGTGGGGGGTCAGAGACAGGCACATCTCTGGGGCACACTGGGCACTCAGATCCCAGTGACAGAGCCTGGCTCAAAGGTCAAGGAGCATTGCACCTGAGAATGACGCCCGAGGCTGACCTCCGGCACACCTCTACACACATCCGTTTCTTTAAAAGCTGAGCCATTTCAAAAGGGTGGCACACAGTGACACACTGCAGATTCCACTTAGAGATTTTTTTCCCTTTAATTTGCATTTTTATTGTTTAATTTTTATTATATTGTTTTCTTTGTGGGCAAGATTGCAAGAACGAAGGATACAAGATACAGGACAGGGAGATGAGTGAAATTGTGGTGCATGACATGAAATTCACAAAGAATCAATAGAAAGTTTTTTTTAAAAAAAGTGGGGCCGGGCGGTGGTGGCGCACACCTTTAATCCCAGCACTCGGGAAGCAGAGGCAGGTGGATCTCTGTGAGTTCGAGACCAGCCTGGTCTACAGAGCTAGTTCCAGGACAGGCTCCAAAGCCACAGAGAAACCCTGTCTCGAAAAACCAAAAAAAAAAAAAAAAAAAAAAAAAGAAAAGAAAAAAGAAAAAAGTGGGGCTGGTGAGGTGACTCAGAGGTCAAGAGCCTGGCTGCTCTTCCAGAGGATCTGAGTTCAAGTCCCAGCAACCACATAGTGGTCACAACAGTATATAATGAGGTCTGGTGCCCTCTTCTGGCCTGCAGGCATACATACAGGAGGAACAGTGAATACATTAAAAAAAATCTTTAAAAAAGGCAAAATCACTAATTTTTAAAAAAAAAAAAAAGGGTAAGGCATTTTTTATAAACTCAAAGGAAGTCATTCAAGAGAAATCCTGCTGAGGGGTATGCAAATCTCACACCAACACTGAAAGGCGGGGCTTGGGGTGGACTATGAGTTAGAGGACAAGGCAGCAGCCTAATGCCCACTTACAAATGAACTGAGAATTCATGCACTGGGTGGGGTGAAAGGCAAAGGACTACATCTCTGGGGTAAGTTTTTAAAGCCCTCCTTAGGTTCTTGGTGCAAAAGTCAAATATGACATAAAAAAAGATATTTCAAGTCTCTTTTGTTTTGTTTTGTTTTGTTTTTTGAGACAGGGTTTCTCTGTGTAGCTTTGGAGCCTGTCCTGACCCTCACTCCTAGACCAGGCTAGCCTTGAACTCACAGAGATCGACCTGCCTCTGCCTTCCAAGTGCAGGGATTAAAGGCACGTACCACCACCGCTCAGCTGATAATTCAAATCTTTAAGGGGAAAAAAAAAATTAACGACAGAAACCAAAAAACATGTGTTATTTTTAACCTGAAGTGCCACAAAGAAGTTGCAATTACAGACTAAATTTAATTTTAAAAAAACAGGTAAAGTGGCTACTTTGGTTCATTCTTCACATATTATGAAAGTTACTTTTGATCAAAAACCGCGAAAAATCAGTGGGCAGCCTCTTCATGAATCTTTACTAAGGAGCACCACCTCACACAAACCAGTCAGAGCGGACATGGCTGCCTGTGCCCCAATTCTCCTTAAACAGGGGCGACAACTACTTTGTGATTAATGGCAGCCAACTGAACCCACAAGAGGAGAAAGCCTGCCGTCTTAACTGAAGTCACAGGGGCCATGCAGATTCTCATTTTAAATCAGGCACATCAAGGAAATGGCCATGCATGACTGGAAACACCTCTATGGCAGTCTGAGGGAGTAGAAACTTATCAGATTCTCCTTCTGAAACCACGAGCAATGTAAGCTAATTCCTGAACACTTCCTGGTACTGAAATGTCTATAGTACTCATTCAAAAGCAATTCTTGGGGAGTCAGGAGAGACAAGAGCTTGTTATGTAACCCAGCTGGCCTAAAACTGGAGGCAATCCTTCTGCCTCAGCCTCCTTAGGGTTAGGATTATAGGTATACCCAGTTTACAAGAGATTTTTAATTATCAAAATTTTTCTTGCCTCCTGCTTAAAATTCCACATTTTATTGCATTTTTTTGTCAAAAGAAGCCATCTTTTTTATTTTCTAGTACAGCAATGCACCCAATTTTAGTCTTAGACTTCTGCTAAACTTACTGCAGTTATATAAACAATATTTCAAAGGTGTGCAGAGATGCAGAAAAGATGCTAAGAACCTGAAGGTACCTGGGCAGTGGTGGTGCAGACCTTTAATCCCAGCACTTGAGAGGCAGAGGTAGACAGATTTCTGAGGTCAAGGCCAGCCTCGTCTACAGAGAGAGTTCCAGGACTCCACAGAGAAAACCCTGTCTCAGGGGTAGAGGGGAGAAGAGGAGACCCTGAGTACGTACAGTAGGGAGGAAATAGATCCTTGGCAGTGACTCAGTCGGCTGCAGCACCCTTTACTAAGCTCCCTGAGGCTCCTGTTTCACTGTAGTAAGAAGCAGTAAGTACAGTACATTCTTACCAATGAGAAAATGAGCCGTTACTAAACTACGCCAGGCACCAAAGTTATTTCTGTCTTTCTTTTGGTTGTTATTGTTGCTTTTAATTGTGTGTGTCTCTGTGTGGATTTAAGCAGGTGAATTCAGCACCTTTGGGAGCCAGTAGACAGTGTCAGCTGGAACTGGAGTTTCAGGCAACTGTGAACTGTGCTACACAGATGCTGGGAACTGAACTCAGGTCATCTAGAAGAGGAGAACTCGTTCTGAACCATGTGCCATCGCCCCTGCTTCTCTATTCTCAATGGACCATGGCGAGTATTAGAAAAGCAAAAGCTGTGTCCACACCGACACCTTAGAAAAGCTGTCACCTAGTTTACATGCTCTAACACCCAGCCTGACGTCCCTCCCCACACCACCTCCAGAAGACCCCAGGGGTCTATTGTGAAATCCCCTCCAAACTTGTAAGTTGAGCCTCCATGCTCACCCCTCACTGGGGGTGAGGGTCTCCATTTCCTCCTTTTCCCTCACGGTACTTCATGGAGGTTTTCCTTCCACATTCCTGTCCCTAGTTCATGCTAACAGAGAAATAGCTATGTGCTCTACTCTATATTCAGCAGAAGCTTTCCAGAGGGAAAGAAACTAAAGGCTCAGGGGAGAATGGTAGAGAAAATAAAGCTTGGAGCAGGTGCCAGGCAGTGGACTCTGAATGTCAACACTGTTCCCTCAGCACTAGGTCTTTCTTGCCCATTCCAAGCTCCAGGGGCCACTGTGTAGCTAGCACTCTTTCCCAGGCAGCTACTAGCCTGAACACAGGTGGAGGAAAGGTACCTGGAAGAGAAGAACCACTATTTACTCTTCCTTTCTGCTAACCACAGAAGTAGGCTAATGAAGGACGAAGAAGATGACTCACCTTGAGGAGCCACGTGAGAACTGAGTCCCGGTAGGGAACAAACTTATTTTTGTTTTTGCCAGCGCCCTGATCAGCTAGGGCCGAGATAACCAGACCCAGGGTTGTGAGAGACCTGCATGGAACAAAAACCACAATTATCTAAACCAAAACATATCAAATGTCACATTAGTCGCAAGAATGGACAGCAAGGTGCCCTTGTGCCTGCATGTGAGGAGCGCTGTGGTCAGCACTTTGTGGTCAGACTGAGCTCCTAAAGGCTGCTGTCCATCTGTGCTACTTGTAGCAATAAAAATGCTGAGCATTATTTGTTTTTCATATTTGCAGATAAAATATATGAAGTGTAAAACTTCAGGTAAAGATAAAATAAACAATGAACATCTTCAAGAAGAATCCACAAGGTAAAATACCAATTAAAGCAATAGTGCTAACAAACACATTTGCACAAGTAAGTCAGATTCCATATTGGAGAAGTGTTCCACAGTCCCCATTTGTTGCCTCAACTCATGGCTGTGGGAACCCTGAAGAGGGAGGGGGGAAGACTTGATTCCATGAAGAAAGAGGTAACGATTCAGCCTGAGGGAGAACCATATGAATTGATATAGTTGGCAGGTGAAGCAGTACTTAGTAAAGTCTTGCTTCTGACACTCTGGCAAACACAACAGGAGACCTAAAGGGACAGCCCAATGTGGCTGGCACATTCACTCAGAGATGGATGGTCACTGGCTTTCTCTCCATTGCAGGCCAGCAGTTCTCAAGAGGAGAATGACTATGCTCCATAGGTAACAGTAAGTCAAAAAGAAGAGACTGGGTTGTCAGAACTGGGGGGTCATCTCTTAGTGAGTGGATGCCAGGGAGTCTACCAAATGTCCCACAATGCACAGCATCCTCCACCTCCAAGGACAAAGAGTCATCTAGTATCAATAGGGGTATTGTTGAGAAGCCCTGACATGACTGAGGGCTGTGCTCCTCGGTCCCATCAACAACTCCACAGATGAGAAAATGAGCCTGGCTCATGGGAAACACTAGGGAAAAAAATCCAAACTGCTTGTTCATCATTGCCTCAATCGTTCCAGAATCATCTTACTCCAATACCCACAGATGTTCCCCTATTTTTCGATCAACTCTGTAAAGCAATTCAAGAATGTGATTCTGGGAAGCTTACTTGTTGATGTTGCTGCCCTCCTTCAGCCTGTCGCCAGCAGCTCCAGTTTTTGTGGCTCGTTCGCTGCCAGCTAAATCCACTAAGCTCAGCTTGCCCACTTTCTCTCCAGATGTCTGCAAAGAAAATCGACACATGCTGACAAACAGCTAATGAATGCCAAAAACAGGCTGGCTCCTTGGAACAGCCTGTCGTCTCATTTGTACTGCTGCTGTGCACTGCAGAACAACACCACCTAGCATAAAACTGACAGAATTTGCTAACCTGGTCGTTAGCAAACAAGGGACTTGATGGCCTCAGGAAAAATGCTACAAAATGGGCCATTTTGGAGAGATTGGTAAAATTTTCAGAGATGTATACAAAAAATGCTCTTAAGATCAAAAGATTAATGATTTGAAACTGTACTTAAAATTTCACAAATATTAGCCAGTAATCTAGAGACAATATAGTTACATTCTTGTTTAAAATTGTTCAAAAAGTCAAAAACATTTTCTAAACACTTTCTCCTTGAATCTGACTGGCTTTAGTTTTCTACCATCAGCTGTGGTCTTAGACAGTGGTGTTTCACTCCACCAGATCACAAACTCGTGACAAGTTTTCTATTTTACCTCATCATCAAAACAGAAATTGTGAGAAAGCAACGTTAGGATCTGCAGATTCGACTATTTTGAAAACTTCCCTTTAAAATCTATATTATCATCTGGCTGGGAATGTAGCTCAGTGGCAGATGTTTACCTAACATGCAGAAGACCCTGGGTTCTGTTCTCAGCACTAAAAAAAAATACAGTATTTCCATAAAATAAACATAACAAAAGAATATTTTGCTTTCCAAATCAAAAGGACTTTAAAAAAAGTCTTCAATATGGTATTTGCTTTGTTTTGCTTTACACTAAAAAGGAACTCAAAAACAAGTAACTTTGTTTCTAACACTGATCTGGATGTGATGGAGGAAAAAGTAATTTTTTCAGCAAGGAAAAACACTACCAATGTGGAGCACCCAGCCAGGAGATGATTTTGGCTTCCAGTATTCAAAACTGAGGTCCTGAGGGATGGACATCATAAATCAGTCTTCACATGACGGGAGAGAACAGGGAGTGAGTCGGCAGAGATGTTCCCAACATGCAGAAGCCCTGAGTCTTCACAGGGTCCCAAACGAGCGCTGCAAGGGTGCTCTACACAGTCTAATGATCTTATATGGCATGCTTACCCAACACAGGCTGCAGCAGACAGCCCACATCAGGGTGTGAATCACTGCCTGTGGTCACTGCCCTCTCTCTGGAGTGGGGTGGGGGAAGGTCTCAGGCCTAACCCAAGATTCCCTTGCAGTCAGGCCTCAGGGACTTTCAGACCCTCTTGCTAACGACTGGAAAGCAGAAGCCAAGTGTCTTTCCTGGCTTTTTTTCTACCATCAGGCAGGTCATGGAATCTGAGGTTTCCCAGGACATTCTACAACTTCCAGGATGCTAAGAGGCAGCTGCACTGACAGAAGCAATTTCTCCACTCCTGACTGCAGCTGTAGAGTCCCTGTGGTTTTAGGAGTGACCCCTAGAGTTACTGGGGTGCTCCAACAGCACTGCAGCACCTCACCCAGCTTCTATTCCAGTCAGGACCTTTGTCCCTAGTCCTAACCAACAGCTACCATCAGAGAGAACAGGATGAGCCATAATCACTTCGGAAGCTACTCACCCCAGACTTCACATCGTACAGAGTATGTGTCAGGGTGATCTTGAAGACTGCATGGGACCGGCTGCTTTCCTCATTCATGTTGGTTGCAGCAACTGTCCGAGACTTGTTGCCCTCGGACATCAGAGACTCAATATCCTAAGTGGAAACAGGTTACAGGCATGCATTTGGTTATTTGTGAATAAGTGTGACTCTCCCACACTGGCACAAGCACCCAAGTTCTTAGAGGCTACATTTTGTTTTTCAGCGAGAATACAACAGCTTACACTGTTTCTGAGAAACAAGTAAAGTACATTATTTACTGCAGACGCGGGAGTAAATGGCAGCTTTGACACAGAAAAGCTAGAACTTAGATTCCCTCAACCCACAGATGGGATCTTACAAGGTAGCCCAGGCTGGCCTCAACGTTGTGATCTTCCTGCCTCTACTTCCACAGTACTGAATCACAGATGTGCCATGTTGGGGATTATGGTCCCCCAGACCCTGAATTTCTTGTGCCAGAATAAACAGCTTGTATTTCCTATGCTTGCAGCTGCTCTGAGCATGAGCCCGATGGCAGGGGAGTGGTTTCTGATGGGACTGCAACCGAAAGATCCCGAGAGCTAGGGCATGGCCAGAGCCTTATATAAGCTGCCCCTGAACACAATAAAGGGGGCATTCTTGGGAAATTCAAGGATGACCCATGTCTCTGTCTGTCTCTTTGTATGTTTCAATCTCCAACACCTTGTCCGGCTTGCAAACTGTCCCTGTGTGGGCTACAGACATAGTACCACAGTACACTTAGTACAGGCGCTACAGGACCATAGTATACGTAGTTGCATGGATGCTACAGTGCCATACACAACATTAGAAACAATACTTTGAGTGACATGAGATGCTGATATTCACCTACTCCAGAAATTAAAAACAAAACAAAATTAAGTACATTTAGTTGTAAAAAGCAACACAAGTTTATGCTATTAAAACAAGTTATCTAAAAAGCAAAAAATAAAAAAGATTTACCCCAGCCAGGTGGTGGTGGTGGCGGTGTATGCCTTTAAATATTTATTTATTTATTTATTTATTTATTTATTTATTTATTATGTATACAATATTCTGTCTGTGTGTATGTATGTCTGCAGGCCAGAAGAGGGCACCTTATTACAGATGGTTGTGAGCCACCATGTGGTTGCCGGAAATTGAACTCAGGACCTTTGGAAGAGCAGGCAATGCTCTTAACCACTGAGCCATCTCTCCAGCCCCCAGTGTACGCCTTTAATCCTAGCACTCGGGAGGCAGAGGAAGGTGGATCTCTGGTAGTTTGAGGTCAGCCTGGTCTACACAGGAGTTCCAGGGCATCCAGGGTGACACAGTGAGACCCTGTCTTTTCCTCACTCCCAAGAGTTACAAGCTCTGAAAGTGACTAGAGCAATCCGACCTTAGCTTCATTAATTACAACACAAATTATCATCACTGGGCTGGGAATGGAGCCCAGGAGCGATGGGGCTTGCTTGGTGTGACAAGGTCCTGGGTCACAAGCAATAAAGAACAAATACACACACATAGCAAAGTCATCGACAAGGATCTGTGAAATGAGAACTGAGAGAGATGGAGCACGCAAAACTGCTGCCCAGCTGCCTCCCACCACCCGCTGCTCTTTCCAGTGAAGGAGCCCTCTCTTCCGCTGAGTCGGCTGTGGCAGAACCAAGAGGCTGCATTTCCCAGATGTCTTTGCAGCCCAGCCTGGCCACATGATTAACTAAAGTGTAACACAGACCATCTGGGTGATCCTCCTTAATGGAAGCAGGCATGCCAACATAGCTCTGCTGTAAGAGGCATTAGGAATGTAAGAGGCTGGGATTACAGCATCTCCCCGTGGAGAAGGGAAGGACCTGAGGTCCCTACCAACAGCTTAGAGTCGTGACACCAACCTCAGACTACCTATTTCAGACATTTTTTCCCCCCACAGGAAAGGACAGTTCAAATCACTGCTTATTCTTTAATTCACTCATATGTATATTGAAAACATCTACCATATGCCAGGTACTTCCTAGACACTAAGGATACATAACAACAAAATATCTAACAATCCATACAGAAACATTACTAAAATCCTGGTATGTTTTTATGATGTATATACTTGAACATAATCTTAAAACTGCCAAACATCTATGAAAAATTCCACAAGTCATATAATTATACTTCTGCTGTATAAATTAAAAAGAATGGTACTTAGTAAAAAGAAATTAACATAAAAATACTCTCAAAGTAAAATCATTAGCTGCAAAAATAGCAACATAGGCGAAACACTTTCCAGAACTTTCCCAAACCCATCCTAGATCCATTAGTTGTGATAGCCCAGAGGCCCCATTGTAATTAGGTGACATTTACTGACTAGTTTCTATTGCTTTGAAGTTTTTTGTAGAAAGTGAGTTACTAAATGATGGTATTGTAAATTTGATTTTAAAAATATAGCACAGGGATGGAGAGATGGCTCCAAAAACATGAATTAGATTCCCAGCAGCCACATAACAGCTCATAAAACTGTAACTCTAGTTCCAGGGGATCTGATGCCCTCTTCTGGCCTCAGAGGCACCAGGCACACACATGGTACACAGGCAAACATGCAGGCAGACACTCATGCATATAATAAAATAATAAAAGTTTTAGAATACAAAGACATGTAATGAGCCAAAATTACAGTAAACTGAAGCAGCTTATATAAAGAATGCTGTTACCTTGTAGCTTGTGACAGCCAGTTTGGAAAGTCCATCCACGTAGGGTCCCAACACACTGTGCTCTCTCACTTTCAAAGTTTGACGGCTTCTGTTCATGACAGAGATGTGATCCATTAGTGATGACCTTTTTTAGAAGGACTCGACTGAGCTTCATAGAAATGTACACTTCTTTCAAGACGGAACCCCCCAAAGAGCAGAGGAGCTGACTGGATTCCTCGAGGATTTAAACCTAACTTTAAAACCCTTGCTGGGAAGAAAAGCTTGAAAATATGGTAAAATACCACATGGCTCAAAAGGGTAAGCGTGGGAAGTCTAGTTACTACCACGAAGAATGCAGAGTCAAATAAATACCAACAATCTCCTTGTCTATCCCAGAATCGGCACCAAAACAGAAAAACCACAGGCGCAGCTCAGCAGTGAACAGACAAAGAAACAAAGACAACAAATGGCTCTCACAGCGATTTAAAAGACACAATACTGAGCTTATCTAAGGCTTGCCTGGTTGTTCTAACAAGAGGGTCTGCACACTTTATCACACTGACACACTAGAGAAAAGGGGGAAGAATGGCTGTTTCAATAAATGCACAAGAGATTCAATAAAACAAGAAGCAAATGTTCATTAGTTTCTAAAACAAATCTCCCAGCAAGCTTGCAGCTGTGGCACTCTCAATGCTTTCAGCAAAATACTAGGAACACCTGTCCAGATGTTGGCTAAAGGGCACCAAGTTCCAGTCAGGATGGGAAAAGTCCGAGACCCACAAACAGCATGGTGGCTACAGTCAGCCATTGTGTAATAATCATAATTCAAAATTGCTGGGAATGGGTGTCACACCACAGCAAAGATAAAATGACAACTGAGGTAACAAATAAATTAGTTAAATTGAGGAAGCTGTTCCACAGTGTCTACATATCCCAAAATAGCCCACTGTAATCTATAGAGGAAAGTATTGTCAATTAAAATTATTTTTAAAAAGAGTAGTTACTAACAATGAAATCTTAGGTGATGATATTGTTTTATCTGTATTATGTGTTTGTTTGGCCACCAAAAGATACTACGTTTTCNCTACAGTCAGCCATTGTGTAATAATCATAATTCAAAATTGCTGGGAATGGGTGTCACACCACAGCAAAGATAAAATGACAACTGAGGTAACAAATAAATTAGTTAAATTGAGGAAGCTGTTCCACAGTGTCTACATATCCCAAAATAGCCCACTGTAATCTATAGAGGAAAGTATTGTCAATTAAAATTATTTTTAAAAAGAGTAGTTACTAACAATGAAATCTTAGGTGATGATATTGTTTTATCTGTATTATGTGTTTGTTTGGCCACCAAAAGATACTACGTTTTCAAAATAAATGAGTTAGAATGTTTAAAATTCTGTGGTAGTTTTTGGTGCCTAAGGTTCAAGCCCCTCAGCTGACGCCCATGCTCCTTTACAATCTTTCCTGTCAATTGTCTTGTCTGCCCACCCCTGCCTGGGGTCAAACTTTATTTGCATAATAGACTTTGCCTTGTATTAATAATAGTTTTGGGGGTCTATAGTTCCTATACAATCCCTGGCATCTAAGAGTCACTCAGAGAATTAACACACTTGGCTAACAAAGTAGAAACAACTATGGTGCCAACAAGGACTTGCAAGGTATCAGCCGCAGGGCTTGGTAGAGTACAGTACAGGTAATGGGGGGAGGGGGGAGGCTCGAGACAGGGTACAGGGAACGGGGTGGGGGGCCTGGTACCATCTCTACTTCATCCACCATAAGGGAAACGAGCAGAGGTACTGAGGAAATGGGGGAACCAAGAAATAAGGCCATCTAAAAGCCTTACTGTCTTTCAGCTTAGTATTACCTAATGATTCAGAATCTTCTAGCATCCTATGTTCAACTTAAAATGTTCTATGAATGCAGATGATGCCACGTGGTTGATTAATATGGTGCTGAGCTCAGCTGAAGTGGACACAGTCCGAGATTTGGGTTACTACTGCTCACCTTTTACAACAGCACATAGTTTGCGATTAACTTTTAGTCCTTCAATTTTCCTTTTTGTTTATATGTATACGTATGTGGGTGGGTATATGTGCATGTTCAACTGTGTGTAGGCGCGTGTATGAACAAGTGTGTACCTGTGGAGGCCAGAGGTCAACCTCAGAAATCACTCTTGGGATATTCTCCACCTTATTATTTGAGACAAAGTCTCTCACTAGGACTTGGGATTCCATGAGTAGCTTGGCCAGCAGCCTATAAGCCTCAGGGATATGCCTGATTCTGCCTCCTTGGTACTGGATTACAAGTACACACCATCACACGTGGATTTTTTTTAAACATGAGTTCTAGAAATGCAATTCAGGTTCCTGTGCTTTCACAGCAAGCACCTCACAGAGTAAGCTGTCTCCTCTGCACTACCTCCCCCTCCTTTTTATGTGTGTGTTTTATGTATGTGTTTTATGTACACTTATGTCTGTTAGCCACTTGTAAGCCTCGTGCTCACAGAGGCCAGAAAAGGACCTGGATCTGGAGTTAGAGAAGATGTGAGCCACCGTGTGGGTACTAGAAATTGAACCCATGTTCTTTGAAAGAGCATTAAGTCATCTAGCTCTCCAACCTCCCTGCTCCCCTGTTCCTAAAGACAATGTATATATACTACATTATACTCAAGCAAAACAAGATTACATTGTTTTACATGATAGTCACTGAATTAATAAAATCAGTACTTCATTTTTTAATGATATTTATTGAGCTCTACATTTTTTCTCTGCTCCCCTTCTTGCCTCTCCCCTCTCCCCTTCAACCCTCCCCCAGGGTCCCCATGATGCTCCCAATTTACTCAGAAGATCTTGTCTTTTTCTACTATTTCCCATGTACATTAGATCTATGTGAGTCTCTCTTAGTGTCCTCATTGTTGTCTAAGTTCTCTGGGATTGTGGTTTGTAAGCTGGTTTTCTCTGCTTTATGTTTAAAAACCACCTATGAGTGAGTACATGTGATAATTGTCTTTCTGGGTCTGGGTTACCTCACTCAAAATGATGTTTTCTAACTCCATCCATTTTCCTGCAAAATTCAATCTGTCGTTATTTGTTTCTGCTGTGTAGTACTCCATTGTGTAAATGTACCACATTTCCCTTATCCATTCTTCAATGGTGGGGCATTTAGGTTGTTTCCAGGATCTGGCTATGACAAACAAAGCTGTTATGACCATAGTTGAACACATGTCCTTGTGGAACGATTGAGCATCCTTTGGATATATACCTAAAAGTGGTATTACTAGGTCTTGAGGAAGGCTGTTTCCCAATTTTCTGAGAAATTGCCACACTGACATCCAAAGGGGTTGTACCAGCTTGCAATACTACCAGCAATGCAAAAGTGTTCCCTTTACCCCACAACCTCTCCAGCGTAAGTTGTCATCAGTGTTTTTGATCTTGGCCATTCCTACAGGTGTAAGATGGAATCTCAGAGTTGTTTTGATTTGCATTTCTCTGATGACTAAGGATGTTGAACATTTCCATAAATGTCTTTCAGCCATTTTAGATTCCTCTGTTGAGAGCTCTCTGTTTAAGTCTGTACTCCATTTTTTATTGGATTATGTGTTCTTTTGGTGTCCAAGTTCTTGAGTTCTTTGTATATTTTGGAGATCAGACCTCTGTCTGATGTGGGGTTAGTGAAGATCTTTTCCCATTCTGTAGGCTGTCGTTTTGTCTTGTTGTCCGTGTCCTTTGCTTTACAGAAGCTAATCAGTTTCATGAGGTCCCATTTATTAATTGTTTCTCTCAGTGTCTGTGCTGCTGGGGTTCTATTTAGGAAGTGGTTCCCTGTGCCATTGTGTTCAAGTGTACTTCTCACTTTCTCTTCTATGAGGTTCAGTGTAGCTGGCTTTATGTTGAGGTCTTTGATCCATTTGGACTTGAGTTTTGTGCATGGTGATAGATATGGGTCTATTTTCATTCTTCTACATGTTGATATTCAGTTATGCCAGCATCACTTGTTAAATATGCTTTTTTTTTTCCATTTGATATATTTTGCTTCCTTGTCAAAAATCAGGTATTCAAAGATGTGTGGATTGATATCCGGGTCTTCTATTCGGTTCCATTGGTCCTTCTGTCTGTTCTTATGCCAATATCAAGCTGTTTTCAGTACTGTAGCTCTATAGTAGAGTTTGAAGTCAGGGATTGTGATGCCTCCAGAAGTTCTTTTATTGTTCAAGATTATTGTAGCTATCCTGGGTTTTTTGCTTTTCCATATGAAGTTGAGTACCATTCTTTCAAGGTCTTTGAAGAATTTTGCTGGGATTTTGATGGGCATTACGTTGAAAGTACTTCACTTTATTAATTAATAAAATTTAATAAAATCATTTTTAAAATGAAGTTTTCACAAATACTCTGGTTGAAATAAAATCTGATTTAAAACTTCTGATCCAATTACTTTGACTTTTCAGAAACAGAAATGCTTGTAGGGTCTGGCAAGATGACCCAACTGTTAAGAGCATTTGCTGTTCTTGTTGAGGGCTGGAGTTCCACTCAACAGACAGCAGACTGCTCACTACGTTAACTCCAACTTCAGGGCATCCCATACCCTCTTCTGACCTCCACATATGCACACACACGCACAAAAGTTTTTAAATTAAAAAGGAAACCATTTTTTTAAATCTTCAAGGAACTTTCATAGAAAACACCATAGCCCGCACATGTTGAGCCCTTACTGTATGCCAGAAGTCCAGAGACCTCAGGTGTACCACACTCTCAATCTTCACAGCAGCCCTCTGGGATGCTGTAAATAGCATCATTCATTCCCTGTGCAGTTTGCTGAGGAAGTGTAAGGAACTTGCTCAACCAGTAACAAGAGGATCCTGAGCTGTGAGACTCCAAAGCCCATGTGCTGAGCACTAAGCTACATGCAAAACAAACTAGGAATCACTAAAAGACTAAACAAACCTGACTGGCAGACTTCAAACCAGTCTGCTGGGGATACAGAACACAGGCATAAACAGCTATAAAGCCTACCAGTTGACTGCTCCTGGGAAGGGTAGGTCTGAGCTATCTCAAAGAAACTGGCCATCTCACAGAGGTCAAAATACAAGGAAAGCAGGAAGGCTGAATTAAAAAATACATAGGGAGCAAAATGTGACTGCCTAAGCCATGACTACCTATCTCTGACCTCTGGCTTCTACATACCTTACCCTCCAGCTGAAAGATGACCATCCTGCAAATGAGTGATATCCATACACTTCCACAAGGCTGTGCCTATACACGAGTGGGTCTCATCTCACTTCTGAGTGGACAAACCCTACTCAGCATATAAACCATCAAGCATCTCTACAGAATCCTCTCTTGGCTCTGGGAAAGGCCCCCTTCCCTTTTTACACTCTGCTTTGGGTTAGCGTCCCTCACAAGTGAGAAGCAGACTGCATGCCCCTCTAACTTGTCTGCAAAACTGATTCTCTCCATACTATGGCTCTTCCTCTGAACTGCAAGGGGCCTGGCATATAAGAATGACTTGAGGGGCTGGAGAGATGGCTCAGAGATTAAGAGCACTGACTGTTCTTCTTGAGGTTGTTATTCTTCTGGTCCCTGCCCTAGCCACGCCCACTGCTTTTTTAACCTCTCCCCGCCCGCCATCCTCTCTCTCTCCGCCATCTCTCCCGGTTAATAAACACTTATGCCTATTTTTATGTTTACTTGTCTGTTACCCTCCGCCACCTGCCGCGCGGCGCTTGCTCGCTGGGGACCGCCGGAGTTTGCTTCTGCTCTGTGAGCCCGCTGGGCGGGAGGAGCCCGCCATATTTTTAGGAATAAGAGAGGTCCTGAGTTCAATTCCCAGCAACCACATGGTGGCTCACAACCATCTGTGATGAGATCTGGTGACCTCTTCTGGTGTGCAGGGATATATGCAGACAGAACATTGTATACATAATTAATAAATAAAACTTTTTTTTTTTAAAAAGGATGACTTGATACACAATGGATAGGTAAAGTGTGGACAAACTATCAAGTGTCAACTCAAGCTCCAGCTGAAGATCATTATCAGCCAAAGAAAGGTGGCTGCCAGGTACCTTTTGCTCTTGATTGAGCCTCACTGGGATTCTCTGTCTCTCACCCAAACATAACTCACTATCTGCTCCTGGGCTTTAAGCCCTGCCCACATGGCTCTGTGACCTAGTTAATATGGTGTCACATGAGCCAGCAACAGCCACAGTCTTTGCTTCCCACTCTCCATCTCCCCACCCCCCTGAGGTACATAGGTTCCTCAGCTACCTCTCACCCTCCTCATTCAGTTCCAAGTGGCCGCAGGGTTAGCACAGCAATTCTAAGGACCTCCTTCTGCTCTAATGCAGTTCTTTTTCAAAGTCAATCCCATGAAATCAGGGGCGTTTCTTACCCCGGGAGGGGAGGGCGTTTTTAGATTAACTACCCTGAGACCAGGTTCAAGCTCCCAGTTTACCTCCCACCTCAATTCACACCTGGAACCAACCACAGAAATCCACCCAAAATTTACTGCCTCTAAAGAAAAAAGCTGAATCACTGAAGGCTACAGCACACTCGTATTAAATGACTGCCTCTCGCCACCTCTGTTTTGTCTGTGGCTTTGGGTAATGAGAGGAAAGGCAGCATGGCACACGTACAGACCTGCATCATCACTCTGCCTGCTCCAACGACCCCGAAACTGGCTGTGGGAAGCTGATCCGTGTAAACATAAATCACAAACAGCATGGCGAGACCACTCTCCACTACAGTTCAATTACAGACTTCTCTAAAGGCAATCTATTATGTCTGTTTCAAAAAGGCCCAGCACTCCAGCCTCCAAGTCTTTTACCCTTTGGGGTCAAGAAGGTCTCGAACTTTCTCATTATAAATCTCCATGTACGATACTTCGACTTTAAAGCTCTGCTCTTCATTCTCCTCTTTCTGGGTCCGCTCGAAGAGTCCACTGCAGAGTCTGGGGATTAGTCCAGGCTGGTCGGCTGTACCCATCATGGTGTAAGACTTTCCAGACCCTGGAAAGGAAAAGGAGCCATCACCACCACCTCTTGGAGAAGTCTAAAGGCAGTTAATCCTATTTCTACTACTTATAACACATTTTTAGAATTTAGACAAATGCACAAAATATAATAAATATACACATAAGAAATGCATCCAAGAATAATGAGAATGGAACATACAGAAGCTTCTATTACTTGTGTAAAACAAAACTAAACATGGTCTAGAAAGAAAAAAAGCTTATCCAGCATAATGACCCATACTTCTAATGTAGCACTCAGGAGGTAGAGGACAAGGATCAGGAGTTCAAAACCAACCTCCACTACTTGACACCTTGTTTAAAAAAAAAAAAAAAAAGACAGACCATCCTTGAATAATCTTCATATTTTAAAAAAATTACCGCCGGGTGGTGGTGGTGCATGCCTTTGGCAGTCAGATCTCTGTGAGTTCAAGGCCAGACTGGTCTACAAGAGCTAGTTCCAGGACAGGCTCCAAAGCCACAGAGAAACAAAAAAACAAAAACAAAAAAAAAAATTTAAAAATTACCAAAAACATAGCAAGATTTTTCAAGTTTTCTGAGTAAGTTAGAATCATCTAATGCTGTTATTATAGATATTCCTAACTACTGAAATCAAAGCACAAAAGACAAAGGCACCCATGGGCTTTGGGGCAAATCAGCTTACTGCCCTCTTGTAACAGTACACTGAACAAACTATAATCTTACTCTATCAATAAAGAAAAAGGATTTTAATCCCAATTTTATTGTACTATCTTAAAAAAAATATGCCACTGACTAATTTAAGCACCTATGAGAAAAACTAACACAGGGTAAGTAAGCAAGCAGCCCAGTAAACGTGGCTTCATCTTCTTCATGGAAGGATGCTCAAGTGTGGACTACGTGTTAGTTCACATTACCTGTCTGCCCGTAGGCAAAGATACAGGCGTTGTAGCCATCAAATGCATTCTGAAGGATGTTTTCCCCAAGGCACTTGAAAACATCATCTTGACCTAAAGGACAGGAAAATAATATTTTAAGGGCAAAGAACACACAAACAAATAAGAAATCAAACAAAACTCAATAAAACAAAACAATCTGCCTGTTTATCCCCAAACAAGATTTTTAAGCTTTGAGAGCCTCTGCCCCACAGGTTATTTATAGTTAGAGTGAGAAGAGACAGTAAAGGGGTCCCTGTAACACATGCGTGAACAAGGCCACCCAAATCAAGCCATGCACTGCAGAGAGCTCAGGAACTGCTTATTTTACTGTCCACAATTAAGATTCAGCAATCTGTTTATTGTATGTGTTGCCACGTGTGTGGAGATCAGAGGACAACCGTTAGCAGGTGGCTCTCCCCTTCCACCATGTGGGTCCTGGAACTGAACGCAGATCATCAGACTTGGTACAATCACCTTTACCATCTGAACTGCCTCACTGGCCCTAAACATCTGAAACTTAAACTTAGGACCTAGATATGCCTGAGTTCAACTACATACCATCCTTTCTGTACTAGAGTTCAGAAAAATCATGCACATCAACTCCTTTCTTTCCTTTTCTCATGAAAATTTCAGGCTACAAGACTTACAATTCACAATAGTTAGAAAAGAGAGTGATACCCTGGATATAGGGGCTGAGAAGATTGTTCATAAGTTAAGAGCACTTGCTGTTCTTGCAGAGGACTTGGGTTCAATTCTCAGTATCCACATGGCAGCTCAAAACCATCTATAACTCTAGTTCCAAGGATCCAACATCCTCTTCTAGCAAGCTTCCATGGGCATCAGGCACATACGTGGCACACACACATGCAGGCAAAACAATCATACTCATAAAAAAATTAGAAGAACCACCATCTGCCTCACATTCTATTAATTTACCAGCTCAGTTATCACACTTCTGAAATTTGGGTGATCATGGAGACACCACTTAGGCCAGGGAGACCAAAGGAACCTTAAATGTTTTTTTGTTAACCATATCAGAAGCAATAAAATATTATGTTCAGTGTGTAAAAGATACTGCTTAGAAACACGTGACCTTGACAGTCAGGGATGCAAGGAACAAAGGGCTGTCACACAATCCTAAACTTGTTGAGAACTGGGGCTGAAAAAGTTCTCTTTGGGGAGTAGTAGAACAGGGCAAGAGGAAACTGAGAAGGGTTGTGGTACAGAGAGAAGACAGACGCTTTGGCAGGCCTGAAGAATTAGTGAGCACCACAGAGGTTTTAAGGACTAGAACTTGGGCTCCCGTGTGGGGCTTCTCTCTACTTATACCAGGTCCCTCTACAGCACATCACAGACATCATAAGGGTCTGCATGCCTGTAATGAGGCTCCTGGTTCCATTAGAAGACCTCATGAGATCCCTCAGTCACAGTATTTATCATCTCACATAAAAACATCTCACTGAAGCCTCCCGGTCCCTAGACAGCACAAAATGCTGGAAGCAGTTGCCTGGACAGTGATTAAAATTTACACCAAATGATACCATGGCAGTGGGTGGAGAACACACAAGATGCTTCCACGTTACTAACTGCACAGAACAGTGTGCTCAGTTACCTGCATACTTCTCTCGGACGGATTCGTCCATGGACCAGAAACAGTGATCATATGCAAATATCTGTTGCAGAGGGAACATAAAGAAAGTGCATTAAGAACAAAACTTTAACATCACAATTGCCATTATAATCATGCATAGCATTATTATAACTTACTAGTCAGGCCTTATGGCACAAACCTGTAATCCCATCACCTGAGAGACTAAGGCAAGAGAAAAGCCAAGTTTCAGGGCAGCCTGGCTACATTGTGATCATGTTTCAGCTGCCCAATCCCCCAGATAAATACTGACACTTGAGGTCAGAGAGTAGGGGTTAGTGATGCATATAATCCCACAGTGACAACAGTGATCCCCTTACATGGAAGACATCTCCAGTGGTAAGTCAGAGAAGCCTGTGAGATGAAATGCACAACAGCAGCTATGTGTGTGCAGCTATAAAAAGGAAGTTTGCTTTTACTTCTTGATGAGGTGCTTTTCTAAAGCAGGGTCTTACAACAATTAATTAACACTCAGTCATTCATTCTCTCTCTCTCTCTCTCTCTCTCTCTCTCTCTCTCTCTCTCTCCCTCCCTCCCTCCCTCCCTCCCTCCCTCCCTCCCTTCAACTTAAAGTATCTACCCAAGTTTACCAGCACTTACCTAGCACAACTTAAGTCAAAGAAAGCAAACTTCAAGAAGTTTGGGACTCTTGTTTAGAGGACTGAAAACTAATAAGGAGTATTCTTATTTACCAAAAACACTGAGTGGCTCCCTTTTCAGTTTTAGCAATTTTGTAAATTACTACAAATACCTTTTAGCCCAAAACTTCATAAACTCAGTGATAATCACACTAGATTTAGTGCATGCTCCACTTGCAGATACAAATTAATGAGTATTTTATACAAACAAAAACTGTCAAGTATGTCTTGATAACAGCTTTTATGTAGCTATTATCTTCTTACTGTTTTAGAGCCTGCCCACTTTGTCAAACAATGTACAGTGAACATTGCCTTCCAGAGACTATGTTTGTTTCTCTTGCTAATGAAATGCTTTGCTCCCTTATAAAACAATATGTTGGCCGGGCGGTGGTGGCACACACCTTTAATCCCAGTACTTGAAGCTACAGAGAAATTCTGTCTCGCAAAACAAAACAAAACAACAACAACAAAAAAAAAAAAAAAAAAAAAAAAAAAACAATATGTTCACTATGTTGAATAGTTAGGAATGGGCTTGGTTGTAGCTTAGTGGTACAGCACTTGTCTAACACATACAAAGTCCCAGGTTTGAGCCCCAACAATCGAGCAGATTTGTGGATGTTAAAGCTGAAAAGTTATGTATGACACAGAGCAGGTCTTCCATCTAAATGGTTTTCATGCTTTTAGGGTTTTCCACTATAAGGAGCAAATACTATATTATACTATTTTTTGAGTTTGAACTTTAATGATTTGTTTGTTTGAGACCAGATTGACCTCAAGCTTCCAGAGATCCGCACCTGCCTTTGCCTTCCAGCTGCTGGAATTGAAGGTTTGCAGCACCCCACACCTGGCTCCATTCCTTTTATTATTATTATTATTACACTTATTTAAGTGGGCATACAAAGCAGTGGGTTTCCTTTTGGCATTTATGTCATTTCATGAATATGCCATTTTAATTTGTCCCCTCCCCCACTGTCTTCCCTTGTTTCCTTTCTAAATAAACATTAGCTCTTTAAATCCAAAATGTTTCCAATAAACAGAAAAGAAATACATAGTCATGCTAACAAATTCCACAGAAAAATATAAAATAAAAATAGAGCTTGTGAGATGGTTCAGAGGTTAAAGGTGCTTGCCACTAAGCCTGATGACCTGAGTTTGATTTATTAGGGCTCAACTGGTGAAAAAAAAAATCTGATTCCCAAAAGTTGTCCTTTGACCCCCCTAAGTGCTTGACATCGCATGCACTTGGCAGGGTAAGCATGCGAGAGTGTGCATACAAAATAAATTAATAAATTTTAAAATAAATAAATGAAGGTCTCCCATTTGCCAACCACAACTCTACCCCAGAGGAAGCAATCTGTTAAGAATGTGGGCTTTTCCCCTTTTAGACTTTTTTTTAAATATTTATTTATTATATATACAATGTTTTGCCTGCATGTGTCTCTGCAGGCCAGAAGTTGGCACCAGATCTTATTATAGGTGGCTGTGAGCCACCATGTGGTTGCTGGGAATTGAACTCAGGACCTCTGGAAGAACAATCAATGCTCTTAACCGCTGAGCCATCTCTCCAGCCATTCCTTTTAGACTTTTTGTTTGCAATACATTTCTCTAAGCAGTGAGAACAGTTCACTAAATAAACATAGCAAGTTTTTATTTCCTCACATCTTTACTGGTCTCCAGCTTCTGTTCCAATAAAAAGCAAAATTAACCCAGCACCTTCTTCATAGAGAAAAAGTTCAGACATATAAGGAGACCAGTGTCATATCCATGCACTGTTTAAAAGGTCATTGGGGATCCCAAAAGGCATGTCTACACATATTTTAGCAACAGTAACAGCGTAGAGTTACAGCTCAACCACAGGCTGTAAAACAAAAACAAGTCCAAGAATGTAGACCAATGGAACTTCCTGGAAGTTCTAAGTCACTTCAGAGAACTGTACAGTTAAAAGCTCCATGCTGACTTAAGAGGACATAAAAGAATAAGACCCACGGGGGCTCAGTGCTTAAGAGCATTTGCTGCTCTTGCAGAGGACAGGGTTTCTAGCACCTACATGGTAGCTTATAATCATCTGTAACTTCAGTCCCAGGGGGCCCTATATCCTCTTCTCAATTCCATGAGCACCAGACATGCACAAGGTACACATACATGCATGAAGGCAAAACACTCAGACACATAAAATAAAATAAACAAATATTTTTCAAAAATTAAAGACCCTTGGAAGATAAAAGAAGTCAACACTCCCACACAAAAGTTGGCTCAGTGAGAAAAAGCGGTCTGCCACCAAGCCTGAGTTCAATCCCTGGTGCCCACAAGGTATAAGAAAAGAACCAATGCCTGAAAGTTGTCCTCTGACCTCTACACATGTGCTGTGGGTGTGCAACACACACACACACACACAATTAACTTTAAAATGTAATTAAGAAAACTTAAGGGCGGTCTCAGACTTGGCTCCAATGTGAGATACAAACACAGACCCTAGAGGAATCTGAAGTCCAACATGAGGGTCCCATCAGGACTCCACAGGTCTGGCAAAGCACCCCACTGCCTAGAAGCAATATGAATTGGATTGGCCCAGAGTGAGCACACTGTGGAAAAATCAGTTTCATGCTAATCTATGTCACACAAGAAATCTGTGTTGGGTTGCTAGGAGACTGGGAAGAGCTGGCCAAAGTCACTGCTCTCCATAGCCCTCCAGGCCTGTCTAGGCCAATAAGCAGCTTTGGAATCATAAGACAGCCAAAGGCTTATACTGCTTTTATAAACTAGCAAGGAGAAGGAGTTTTCTGTTTTGAATACTTCAGAGGTATACACAGGAATTTCTACAGGCACCATGTGAAGAACTCTTACCTTCGGCTGGCTCCTGAGTTCCAGAGAATGGTGTCGCCATGGACATGAAAGAAAGGGGACAAGTGTTAGCAAAGAAGCATGTTTAGAAAACTCTTCTTGGACAGTAAAAGAAAATAAATGCATGCAAATTTGCAATAAGAAAACAAAACAGTAGCCAGGCACACACACCTATAACCTTTGAGCAGAGATGCTGGAGGCAGGAGGATCAGGAATTTAAGGTCAGTCTGAGCTAAATAGCAAGTTCAAGAGTAGTCTAGGCTACAGAAGATTCTGTCTCAAAGGGGAAGGGGTTACAAGGTGGAGAGGGAAGGTAAAAGGAAAGGGGATAAAAAAGAAAAGAGAGAAAAAATATTATTTTTGAAACTAGTAAATGAAAGGTAAATTAATACCAAGAATGGGAGGGAATAGATTACAACTACCATGTCTCTCTCCAGCAGGAAGGATCCGAACACTGGGGAAACCTTTAGGGAGAGTCTTAAAGTCCTAATGGCTCTGCTTCTTTGCTTTTGCTCATCCTGTATATGCCTTATAAATAATTCTTTCAAAAGCTTGACTTCTGAGGCAGGTGCAGTGGCACCTACCTTTTTGTGACCCCAGACAGAGTGAAAGTGGGTTAAGTAAGAGGATTGTATAGGTCTGTGACCAGCCTGGGCTTCATTAATTAATCCTGTCTCAGGCTGGAGAGATGGTTCAGTGTTTAAGAACACTGGCTGCTCTTCCAGAGACTGGGATTCAATTCCCTGTACCCAGTGCAATACCCTCTTTTGGCCTCCTGGCACCAGGTACAACATGCAGTGTACAGATATACATGCAAGCAAATATCTGTTAACCACCATCCCCTCCAACAAAAACCACCTGTCGTCTGATTTCCCTTCTAGAACTTTCCTGAGCTTTTATACAGCGGTAGCTTATGCTCTTACCTATCCAGATTTTTCTATCCAGTAGGACTTCTGTTCTGGCTCAGGAAAAAAAAATTGCATTTAAAGGAACAATTAATTGATTGCCAGTGAGCTCCTATTCACTGGGCTGCTCAGTACACACCCTCTTCACTTGCCTGGGCACTTCAACCTCCCCTCCAGCCCTCTGTCTGAAACTGCCAGGAAAAAAAAAAAAAAACCTAAAGCCTGAGATCCCATGAAGAACTCCCACAGACCCTTCACCCCAGATCAACAATGGTCACCCCTGAACTGGGCTGCTTTCATGTGCTCCCTTGTCACAGACATAAAAACACAATTATACTTCTTTTTCCCTGGACCTACTGAAGGCAGGCGTGCCTTCTTCCCTGACACTCAAGGGCAGAATTCCAAATAACAGCCATGCTCACTTAGGTTCACACAGCAAACTCAAACTAATTTAAGGATGAAACAAGTGCATTTGTCTGTTTTTTGTTTGTTTTAAGATGAGTCCTCACTATTGTCTCCCCAAGCTAGCCTTGAACTTACTGTGTGGAGCCAGTTGACCTGGAATTTGTAGCACTCCTGCCTTAGGCCCAAAATAGTGCTGTCATTAAAGACAGGAACCTCTCCTGACTTAAGGAAAGTCCTCCTGATTTTGGAGTGAAACAAGAATAGTGATACCTGATCCTTCTCAGAGAACAGAAACATCCAGCCTAAGTTTGGAAAAATACTACATACAAATGCCCCTGCTTGTTGCCCACAAGTTTCTTATCCCTTTGTCTCCTGTGATTCTCTTCTAAAAGAAATCTGACATTTATTTGTACCAAATGACTTGAAATGAAGACAATAAATGTCTAGGAAATGGTGACAAGTATCTGGTAGATTGTGGTAAAACATCCAACAGGGCTATGATGTTAAAGAAAATGTGTTTTTCTTTCTGGACTAAAAAGATTGGGAAACCTTCCTGACAAAAGCCCTAGGCTGGGGAGATGGCTCAGAGGGTAAAGGCGCTTGCTGCCAAGCTGATAATTTCCTGAATTTGATCCCTAGAATCTACAGGGTAAAAGAAGAGGACCAACTCCCACAAGATGTCCTCTGACTGCCACACATATGCATAATACACAGGTACACTCACGAGCACATAATAAATGTAAAAAACCATTTTAAAACCTTGGAATCTATAACACAGGTTAATGACAAATGCTACCATTGTTACAGATTTTTGTAGGCAAAGCCAATTCTCAGCTGTGGTCAGATTGGTTAAAAATGCAGCCATGCATCTGAGGTGTCTACAGGCCAAGAACACATCACAGATGCACTAATGAGTCCAAACTTACAGATGAGAAATTTAAGAATTAGAAAAGTTAAAGGACCAGCTAAAGTAATCCTAGGTCTTCAACCCCCCCCCCCACACCGAGTCCACCATCTTCCTCCCATGCTAATTCAAATAACTCAGATTTTAGAACCCATGAGCCACACATTAACCAACACTCTTGTGAATAGTGGCACCTACCAATGAGTTCATTCCCTCCATTCTGTTACCTATAACCTGGTTGGTATTTTGATAACTTGACACAAGCTAGAGTTAATTGGGAAAAGGACCCTCAATTGAAAAATGCCTTTATCAGGTGGCCTGTAGCCAAGTCTGTGCGGTAATTTTCTTGATTAACAATTGATGTGGAAGAGCCAAGGCCACTGTGGGCAGTACTTCCCCTGGGCAGATGATCCTGAGTTGTATCAAAGAAAGTAGGCTGAGCAAACCATGAGAAGCCAGCCAGGAAAGTAAGCAGCACTCCTCCATGGCCTGCTTCAGTTCCTGCCTTGAGTTTCTGCCCTGGCTTCCCTCAGAGATGGACGACAAATAAAATAAACTCTTTCCTTCCCAAGTTGCTTCTGGTCATGGTTTTCAACACAGAAAAAGAAACCTAAGACATACTATAGGGCTCCCAGGTGGGACTTACACCAGCATTTTACTATTTAATAAGTATATGAAAATTCTTGCCTTTTCTAAGAACAAAAACATACATCTACCATATTTCAAGCCTAAATAAAACAAAATTTTAAAAACTTTTAAAATCAGCTCTTTCTAAGAGGCTACCAATAAATATCAAACTGAACATATGACTCACTGCAGAAGAACCGACGAACTCACCTGAATTCAAAGCAGACCAATAAAAACAGAAACAAACCAGCAAGTCAATTACAGGGGTACATTTCCAGCTACGGAGCCTGGGAGCCAAACAACAAAGCTCCGGTAACCTGCTGGTTACAGGACACCTCAATACATAATTACAGCTCCTTACAAAAAGAAGTAGATTAATTAATGAGACCTTGTCAACAGGGAGCTGAAATCCCATACAGCCACGGCTCACGGATCCCAGGATCCCTTACCCAGAAACCACGGCAAGCCTCATCACTACAGATACTTTTGAAGCAAAGAAATGCAGCCAGTTCCTGACCCATCCAAAGGGCAGGCACAAAGCATGTCAGCCACAGTCTTCACTTCCCAGCTCTGCTGAATTAATTTTCTTGTTGCTTAACTTCATTTTTAAGTACTTTCAAACTTACAAAAATAGTACAAGGAATTTCCACACAGACTTGCTCAAGCTTCCCTACATGCTAATGACTTACAGAACCCCAGTTAAGTGACCAAAGCCAGGACAGATCTATCAACATACAACCAACCTATTAAGTTTACAGCCAGTCCTGCTCACATTTTGCCAACTTTTGTCACTGGTGTACTTTTTCTGGTCCAGGACTGTGGGCTATATGTTGTCATGATGTTGGCTGTGATGGACACCTGGAAACACTGGCCACTTTGTCTGCAAATCGTCCCTCAGACTAGCTGCCTAGTGCTCCCTCATGACTCAGCTCAGCCTGTGTGCTTGGCAAGTATCAACACAAGCAGCAGATGACCCTGTGCATGCATCCCATCAGGAGACATGAGATGTTCAGAGCTTACTCTGCTTGATGGCTAGAGTGTGACACTCTCCACACTCTAAGGTTACCTTGATACTCTAAGGTTGTCCTTGATAGTCAGCTAGCAGGAAGAGGCTTTGAGACCATGCAGAACCTCTCTGTCTCATCACACTTCCAACCATGAACTTTGGCATCCAAATGCAAGTCTTGCCTGCAGTGACTTACGTCTCCCAAGTGGTGAGCAGACAGCCACAGCACTGGAGATGAAAATGCTAATGATCCAGGTGGATCAACATGGAAGGTGCTGCTGCTTTGGAAAAGATCAGTGTGGGAAACATGATGTGATAGACTATTCTCTTACTCTTTCCTACTGACCTTGTTAAGGGGCCTGTGCTCACTTCTCACTCAAATAATAAATCATACCATAAAAACTAATCAAATTACATTCCTAATCTCCAGACTGATAAATATGAAGACATTCATTGATGATTTTTATGTACACTGATAATCTTTGGGAATGTCTCATTAATACCTTTGACAATGACAAAAATAAAATTAATATATGATCTAAAAGTAATTCAAAAATATTACATATACTTAAGACATAAACAAAGCTGGGCAGTGGTGACACACTCCACTTAGAAGGCAGAGTCAGGTGGATTTCTGAGTTTGAGGCCAGCCTGGTCTACAGAGTAAGTTTCAGGACAGCCAGAGCTACACAGAGAAACCCTGTCTCAAAAAAACTAAATTAAAAAAAAAAGAACATAAACGTGTCAGAATGAATTATAAATCAACCAATTACCACTATCAACCAATAAAATCTAAACACCACCACCTCTTCTGTCCTTCACTGTTTTGGGGGTGTGGGGAGGGGAACGACTGACTGACTATATAGTCCTGGTTGGCTGGCTGGCTTGGACTTGTTATATAGGCTAGACTGGCCAAGAACTCATAGAAATCCTCCTGTCTCTGCCTCTTGGTGGCTGAGGTTAAAGGCCATACCACCATTCTGTCCACAATCATCTCTCAATTCTAAAGATTTAAACTACTGAAATGATCATAATTAGAAATATGCAGAATCTCTGATTTACAAGATCCCACTCTGACACATACACATCACAAGGAGCTTGAGGCTGGGATGCAACTCGGCCTGTAGAATGCCGACACCTGGGATTCCGCCCTATCACTGTACAAAGCA